TCCACCTTCACTATATCCCCAACTTTCAAATCCCTCCACTTAGTATACTCAAAAACTCCATCACCATGATGCACCCTAATTTTCCTGTTGTTCATTTCAATATCCTGATAGAAGTTTTAAAGACCTTGGTTACTAATCTAATTCTATAATAGCACTAAATAAATATGGTCAAATACAGAAACAAATGCATCAAACAAGGTGTTGATATAAGAAAGTTTACCTGTCTTTTGCGCCTCCAATCTTCAACAGCCTCTTTCCCCATTGTAACTCCGATCACAACGACGAGAGGGACGACGTTGCTGACAGCAGAGTAAGGAGAAAGTGGTGTAAAAGACAATATTGCACAGATGAGGAAATATATATTGGCAACCCTTCTGAATTGCTCAAACAGTGCTTTTGGTAAGAATGTAGCAAGTCTGTACTTAGTGGTTCTAACATAATTGCCTTCATAACTGTGAGCAGCGGCCTCCAAGCAGTCAGGGTCGTTGCAGTAAACTACCCGTGAGAAGCCAGGACCTCCAATACGTGAATGCTCGCCATTGAATGATGCTTTCCCACATGAGAAGGCATGGATTCTGCCAAAATGCTGCTTCTTTCTTCTACCACCACCCATTTTCTGCAGCTAACACTTCCCACATAAATTGTGCAAACACAAAAAATGACTCCCACTCTATTGAACAACTGATCAATCCACCCACGAACCCAACAACCAGTTTTTGACCAAGATGCTTCAGTGCCTACCACTGCCTAGCAACTTCTTGAACCAGAGCCCAGCTGGCAGGTGGGATGAGAACAAATCTCAGAAAGTTGCCCAATTCCCAACTCAGTGACCCAAGAAACAGACCGAAGACTGACTGATTGAGAAAAGCAAAACAGGAACTTCAGCTAACTACCCAAAGAAAGGCCAAGAGGAACCAACCCAAAAATAGAGTGATCTGGAAACAGTAAGAAGAAAAGTTTTTTAGCCAAAATAGAAATGTCCTAAAAGAAAAAAAATGCAAAACAAGATCTTCAATGATGAAGCTTGTAATCAAAATTCACAAAGTCTTCCACTTCATATTTAGAGACTGTGAAACAGGACACAAAGGTATTTTGAACCTCTAGCTTGCCAAGTTTGACTTGTAGCTAGAATCGCCAAACTTTGAAAGTGGAATCAGACCAAAAAAAAAAAAACAAAACTTTGAAAGTGGAAATGGGCTTCCCATGGGAACTACTCAACTGCTTCATTAAATTAATAATGATTTCCACCCTTTAAAACGCTATCTCAAACCAAATCAGAACGACTTTTTTGTCAAATGCAAGAAAAAGATATAAGAATAACACAAATATCAACCGCTAAAGAAGACTATAAAATACAAGTATGAGAAAAACTTCGCGTACGGACCAAGCCTTCTAGAAGGTCAATAAAGAGGCGTACAAAATTAATGTACAACTCGGAAACAAATTATTGCCATTATGGATCTCTGGAAAAATAACTGACCCAAATATATTCCCGTAGATAAAATATTTGGGCAAGGAAAAGGAATTAAAATTAAAAATTAAAATATATGTCCGAAGGAAGACAAATGACGTACTTCTTAAATGACAGATCATAGAGTTAATCAAAATTATCAGAAACGTGACGCCGCGTGGTGGAAGGGTCAAACAAGACCAGCCCACATGTCCATAATGAACAGCCTAATGCTTTGCTTTTCTCAGATAAGAGCGAGAGTAACAGAAAATTTCTCATTGCGCTAATAGGCTCATTAACCGTACATTATATTAGCTCTGAATATTACATCCAACTGCAGTAATGTATCAAACTCTAACAGGCAGGCAGGCATTCAATCGTGTATATGTTGGCATTAACATCTCAGATAATGCATAATGCTTCCTACACTTCATCAACCAAAATCTAATTACAATCAAATAGCATCCAAAAAGGAGCAACAAAACAAAGTTTCCCAATCAACTGAACCATACAAAATATGCTGTCACCCAAAACCTATGCAAACTGACATTCCATCTTTATGATGTTCCTTCTGTGAATATTTCTTGATATGTTTGCACGATAGCAATGGTTTCATTGCAGTGCCGAGGAAATAGGACTTTATGTTCAACCCCTCCTTTTGTGCTTATCTCTCTTTGTTTCTGAACGTTCCTTCTCCGGGGAGTCTCTGCTTCTATGCTTGTGATGTTTCGAGTGTTTTCTGCTACTACTACTGCTCTTTTCTCGAGAAGATCCTTTCCTTCTCCTTTTAGAACGAGAACGGTGACGGTCTCGGTGATCACTGGATGAATCGCTATCAGAATCACTGTGTCTATGCCGATGTCGCCCAGAGCGCTTTTTACTCCTTTCATCTTCTGATGATGAACTGCTGCTCAAATTCCGGTGCCGCCTTGAGGGTGTTTTGGCCTTCCCATCCTCTTGAGGTGCCTTTTCCAAAATAATTTTGTCAAATTGATTACCGAAAGACCCAGTCTCTGTGTATTTGCTATTACTTCTTGCTGAGTTACCATTAACAGGTTCAATATTTCCACGTGGACCATCTCGAGCAATCTCCTGGCTGTGCAGAATCTCATGATTGGAAGAAGGCGCATTATCAACTCGCACGATATCAGAATCTACAGAATTAACAGTAGCAGTTCCTTTGGGAGGCACAGAATTCCCGACTTTGTTCATTGATGAGGGCAGTTCAGGAGGAACCTCTAGGCCTAGTTCTTTACCCAAGGATTCCAAAAAGTCACCTGCAATCAAACGGTTTAATGTTGTATTAGCTGCTTCACCCTTCTTCTCTGGATTGCCCACTTCATTGTGAACAGAGGTATCCTCTTCATCATCTGAATCATCAGAAAAGATAGCCTGCACACAGAAATGAAGATTAATATGAGGCATATCCTGCACATAGCATATGCATGTAAAACACGAAGCGCACTGGATTATGAGGTGAGAAAATACAAACACTTAAAATTCACCCCCACCCCCTTTTCTTCCCCAACAAAGTAAACAGAGATGTATGACCATTGACCAATATATGAGAACAGGCAAGCGTCTTCTGATCTAAATAGCTCACAACAAAATTATGGGTAATTACAATAATTCGCATGAATAATAGTAGAACAAAATGTCAGACACCAGAAGGAAATTAAAATAAACTAAGTCGATGCAATCTCACATTTCAGAGAACTGACACAAACCTAAGATCTTCTATCCAAGCTGCATGCAAGCATTACTTATCAAGGAGCATAGAAGAAAAGAGTGACTTCACTCAACATAGTACCCGAGAGCTCTTTTCTTGGCTTAATCATTCATAACAGTACAAATAATGGTGAAGAAGATTCATGAATGTTTTCCAATTACAACATAATAGCGGGGCACTTTTTTGGTGTGATTTATTTGCAGTCCGCAACATGCAAGAAGAAGAAGTGAATTCGTAAGGTACTAATAAATAAATAAATTCTGGTTTAAGCACCTTGTAAAGGTCAACTGGCCTCTCAACATTTTCAGCTTCAACCTCAACTTCACTTTCCTTGTCAGCTGCATCTTTGCTTAGTCCTTGGGCATCAGATTGAGCAACAGGGAATGATACTCCCTTTGCAATTACAATTTCTTCTGCTTTTGTGTCTTTTCCAGAATCTGATGTAAAAATAAGAGTTTCCATTTTGCTCTTCATTCGTGGAGCAGGTGGTGGCTGCAAGTGGCAATAACATATCTTTAAGGTATGGTGTTAAGGAAAACGTGTTTACTGTGTACATCTTTTCTAATGGATAAACTGAATACTAGAGAGATGTACTTCTTGGCTCCAGTTTGAGTGTTTTGAGTGTTTGAGTGTGTGTGTGTGTGTGTGTGTGTGTGTGTGAGAGAGAGAGAGAGAGAGAGAGGTTTACAAAGTGAATAATGCATATAAAGAAATAGAACAGGAGTTATAGAGGAAATTATGCAACTATACCTTCCCCATGTAAGGATCAATGAGATCAAAGCGTTTGCATAAAATAGGTGAAGGACGCCATTGATATTCCTTCCGTTTTAAGTGAACTTCCTTTGTGATCGAATTTTCAGCTTGAGTATCTTTAGCTTGCTGTTTTCAAAAATTAAGAAACCAAATTATTAAGAAACCAATCTGAACCCACATCTACAAACTCAAAACCTAAAAATCACACATTGAAGCCATACCGCTAATCCCCCAGAAGTAAACTGCATGCCTCCAGAAGATAAATACTCCATAAACTGTGATGTGGAGAGTTTGCTATCTTTACTCCACTTCCCTTTCTGTATTGCCTCGGCCGCAGCCTCAAAGTCCATTCTCTCACGAGCACGAGCTGCTTCTGACATATGACTAGCCCCACCAGACTCGGTAGATCGAAGTCCTCCTTGGTACTTTTCCTTGAGAAACCGCTCAAACCGTTCTTGCTTTGCAGGATCCTCTTTGAAGGGTTTTGCAGCTTCCAGCATCTCACCCTAGATTCGACACATAAAACAAAGTAAAAAATTTAAACTTTCCTTGAGGTAACAACCGCTCATAAAAATCTAAAAAATGATTGGTAGCTAAAGCAATGTCTAAGTAAACAAAAGCCAATAAATTACAATATGGATTCGAACAAACATACAAACGTAAACATTTGAGAAAGCAGATAAGCAGGATGCATGGTACTCACATGTAATGCAGGTTTAGTAAATGTATCTGAAAGATTGTACTGAAGCTGAATGGCATCTGCAGAAGTAGCGGATGAATTTGAATCTTTGGTGCTTCGTTCCAAAGGCCTTTCCCCTAAAATTTGTCCACGGCTCTCTGCTGTCATCTTCTGCATGTGTGGAGACAATTTTACATCCAATTTCTGCTTGGTGTGATCACTTCGCTTCTGTTGCTCCTCCCACAGTTTCCTTGCATAATAATCATGGCCATTCCCTCCAACTAGAAAACTAAACAAAGGATTTGACTGGTTTTTCTCTCTGGAGAGATCCTCAAACAATTTACCACATCGAGCTACTAGAGTTGCAACCCCATCAATTAAAAGTTTCAGATTAGTGTCCTCGGGAGGAGGGACTTCTGGGGGACCAGGATCTCCAAGCTTGTAGCCAGTCTCAAGAGGCCCGGGAAATTTATGGTGGGGTACAAAATCTTTTGGAACCACAGGAGGATCAAATCTGGAACAAATCCCAGTGTAATAGTTAGCAGTTATGTATTCGGCAATGAACAAGCAGAAAAACAAAAAATATATATTTCATTTACAGCATAACTAATTTCAAAATGGACTCATATTAAAACATGCAGGAGGATCAATTCTTCAGCATATTCACATGCATATAAACTAATAAAAAAAAGTGGCAACTCATGTGCATCATAAAACTAAAACCTAATTACCGTTCATGCTGGTAGTCAGAATTCAATGCAAGTCTAAATCCAGAGAGAACACCTGGCTCCTTTCTAACTGACTTTTGCTTGCCCTCCGTGATTGATCTTGAAGGCTCATCAATATCTTCAACATAAGTCTCCTCAAAGTCATAACCTGCACAATACAATTGGAAAAACTAAAGCATAAATAATGAATAATATTTCAACAAAAAGGTAACCTGGTTAGCCCAAAATGAATCTCACCAACAGATCGAATCACTATAGAACTATAACTATTTACCTCAGTAGATCACAAACTGAAGGAAATCATGCAACTAAAAATATAATCAATTAACCAATCTGTGGCCTGAATTAAGGGGAAAGGAAAGCATTAATTACATCTCAGCAGTTTCTCCCAGAAAGCATAATAGGGGAAGACAGCACAAAAGTAAAGAACTTATTCTATCCAATGAATCCAACAACTCTATTGCATCTATTAGTTACTGAGAAGAGAAGATTGATTATTCACGACGAGAACACTAACCAGAGGCATAAACATCCTCATCTTCAGCATC